CCCTTCTGCACCCAAACTCCCTCCCAAAGCCTGCACCCCTCCTGCACCCTAATCCCCAGCCCAGAGCCTGCACCCCTCCTGCACCCTAATCCCCAGCCCAGGACCTGCACCCCAGACCTCCTCCCCCCACCCAAACTCCCTTCCAGAGCCTTAGGTAGGATCTGGGCACGACCAACATTTCTACAAACCTGCCACCCCTGGCTGGGGTGGAGGTGGCTTCCAGACTCTGTGAGCGCTGGGCAGTGGAGTTTACAACTGTGACCAGAGTGGTCACTGACACAGGGAGTGGGACAGCTGCCGGAGGACTGTTAGGGTCGACACAGGTCATGCAGTGTCTACACTCGCACTGCATCAACCTCAGTAAGTCAGGCATGGCTCATCGCTGTTCAGGAAGGTGGTTTACTGCGTGGCTGTATGTGACGTTATTGACATGAACTGGGACCGTATAGATCATTGTTGCAACCAAAGTCTTGTAGTGGCACCTAATCTGGTATAAAGGGGGTCAAATAGGGTGTCTAAGACAAGGTTATGGTTGGCTGGTTATGATTATGCTCTCTGTATGTGTATATCATTTTTGTAGTTGAAGTTATGAATATTGGCTCTATACTGTCTGTATTTCAAACTTATGCTATGCTTCTGGGTGACACTCCAGACAAGTTGGTGTCAGCTCTGCCTAGCCGGCTTGATGGCCCATTAAGAACCATCAGCTATACAATTGACCCATTGAGAGAAACTCAGCAAAGTATGCAGGGACTTGCCCATGAGACTCCAGACTCCATTTTGCTGTAATTTTCCACAATAAGGACAAAGAGGTGTTTTTACACCTGGAAAAGACTATAAAAGGCTGATGCCTCATCTCCATCTGGTCTTCAATCCTGCTTCTTACCTCTGGAGGGACTTTGCTACAAATGGAAGCTCTACACAAAGGACTGATGACCCATCCCAGCTGGGGATGTTCCAGAGACTTGATTTGAACCTGCAGTTTATTCTATCTCTGCTACAAGCCTGAACCAAGAACTGTGCCATTACTGTATGTAATTGATTCCATTTAACCAATTCTATCTCTCATCTCTATTTTTTTCCTTTTATGAATAAACCTTTAGATTTTAGATTCTAAAGGATTGGCAACAGCGTGATTTGTGGGTAAGATCTGATTTGTAGATTGACCTGGGTCTGGGGCTTGGTCCTCTGGGATCGAGAGAACCTCTTTTCTTTTACTGGGGTATTTGTCCCCATAACCATTTGTCCCCATAACGAGTGGCACTGGTGGTGATACTGGGAAACTGGAGTGTCTAAGGAGATTGCTTGTGAGACTTGTGGTTAGCCAGTGGGGTGAGACCGAAGTCCTCTCTGTTTGGCTGTCTTGGTTTGCCTTGGTGTGCGTAGAACCCCCAGCCCTGGGCTGTAACTGCCCAGCTTTAAGCAATTTGTCCTGAATTGGCCCTCTCTGTTGGGCCCGCCAGAACCAGCATCGTTACACAGTAAGAGGGCGCTTATTTTGGCCAGAGACAAATCTGAGCATAGACCCATGCACAGAAGATGGTTCTTGTGCCATTTCATTGAACTCCCAATCAGGGTAAATTTGTAGGCCCAATTATTATACCACCACCCACGCAGAAACTTTCAACCCCAAGGAAGACAGTCATAAAAGGATCACTCTCCCCTTCCACTCCAACCCACACCCAGAATCCCAACTGTTCACACCTCTTCATAGCAAGCAGAACAGCTTGTGGAGACTTATGTATCAGTTCCCACCAGTTCTACGCTTAGGCTGATTAGTGCTGAGTGCTGCCTGCCAGGTGGCTGGGCAGTGCTGGTAGCCAAGAGAACTGATTGACGTTTGGGGCTGTGCTTTGGGTGAGTTGTTCCCACTTGCATTAGGGAAGAAAGAGAGTGTTTGAGTCCCTGCCTGATTAAAGAACACTGGTATTCTGCATGGTTGGCTCTGCTCTATTGCCTCTGGATTTGCTCCAGGGGAAGCCCATCACATACCATAGGCCATTGCTGGACCGTATAATAAAAGCCTGGCTTAATGAGACTTGGCTGATGCAAGCCCTCTGGTCTGAGCAGAGAGGTGGTATATTGGATACAGATGGGATTACTTGGTTCACCAGCTCCTTAACCAGTGTGGGTAAATCCTGGTGTCACAGCTCAGGGCAACTGCACCAGAATTCCCCTTCTACTGTCCAGCAAGGCCACCCACTCTGGGCTTCCCGCTCCCCAGCCATTGGCGCTCCTGCCTTCATCTTTCTCTTCTGACCAGGGTATTTCCAGGCTGCACAGTCCCCTGACTATACTGTGAAAGACAGGCAGTCTAGGCAGGCTTCTTTTGCCTTCTCTTCAGAGACCGTATGCAGTGTAATTGCCACAGGACTAAGGTACTACCCAGCTCTAGCTAAGCAAGCATATTTTATTTTGAAGGTAAAAGCATTACAGAGAAAATATATTAAAACAGTAAAAGAACTGACACACATGCTAATAAACTTACCAGAGATCCCCACCCCCAAGCTTCAGCCTGGGCTCTGGCTGGTAAACAATCCTTCCAGCCACACCCAGAGGTATTCCTGTTGTTTCACCCCTTCGGCCCTGAACAGGAACACCCATGAGTAAGAGAGTCACTCCTTACTCCAGCTGGCTCTTTGAAGAGTGTGAATAGGTAATCAACCAGTCTTTGTTCAAAGTACAGTTTTAAAAGGATGAATTTGAGGTGGATCATTTGCATACCCCTCACCCCAAGTATTGCCTGGGAAATCCACTTCCCACATATTGTTCCAAAACGTCCTTTGAAGTTCCTAATATCTCCTAGAGAGTGCATCAATCCTGCCTTCCTCTTAAAGAAGTTCTATACAATCCCACAAGAGAACACAAACATTTGCATTTCAATAAAATACGTAAACTTAATTCCATAAGGTTTAGCCAGGATATTGTCATCTCTCTCACACCTGGGTCATAGAACAATAGCTCATTTCCTGTAATAAGTACTACAATGTAACAGAATGGCTAGTGTGTCTTTATGCCCCCTGTTGGATGGGACCAGACCTGCTCACCTGTGCACAATAGGCCCTATGCTGCTCACAGCTAGCAGAGTATCAGGGGGTAGCCATGTTAGTCTGTATCTACAAAAACAACAAGGAGTCTGGTGGCACCTTAAAGACTAACAGATTTATTTGGGCATAAGCTTTCGTGAGTTAAAACCTCACTTCTCTCTTAGCTGAAGTGGCAGGGGGCTGAGCTTTTGGAACAGAAGGGCCTGAGTTTTATCTGCACTGTTACCGTGAGGTGTCCCATGGCTGCTGTGTGTAGAACAGCCATGATACAAAGTCTGTGCTAACCCCATTTTGTAAAAATTATTTGAACCACCACTGGGGGGCATTTGGGGCGCACATGGAGCTACATTGCAACCTCCTAAGGATTCTGGCTCAGACCTGCCTCCAGCCTTTGCTTTGGGCCTTACAGAGGCAGAGTATTTTACTGTAACTTTATCTTTATCTAAACCTACAGGGCAAAATTCATCCTCGGGGTAACTCTGCTGACCTCTAGCCTGAGGAAAAGGCCTGGTGTATGTAACAATGAAGAAATCAATCAGATGCTATAGAAAGTACTCCCAAATCCTATCGCTTGTAGGCTTTCAGCACCATCCCAGAGAATGCCTAGGGAGGGACATAATTCTCTGGTTCTGTAGGAAGGTGTTATAGTGTGACTGGCTCCCTTAAGAGGGAATAGGGTCCAGTGCACCTGGGATTGATTAACTTCCTCCCAACAGAGCTTAAGACAGGACACCTTGGCCTTATATATGGTGATGTGACAGATTTCTGTTACCAATCTGCCTGAGGCGTCAGGTGATCAGGCTGAGGCCACGGGATCGGTGGGGGAGGGGATGAAGGAGCACACCAAGTGTCTAAGTTTTAAAGCTTTATTAATAAAATAATAAAATAACAGCAGTGAGTGTTGGGACTGCTCCAACGTTACTCAAAGGAAGCAAGAAAGTGTTAGTACCCCAGCCCTAACCCACTTTCATACTCACACACGCATGACCCAAGGCTGGCCAAGCCAGGGTGTAATGGAAGAAGAAGAGGGGGAGGGGTGGACAGGAGTTCTTGCCCCGTGCACAGGTCGTCCAGGGTCCGCTGCGATCTCCGCCTTGCTTTTGCTCTTGGGAGGGTTTTAAGTCCTGGGTTCCTTTGGGGGTGTTTTCATCCAGGGCCCTCTGTTCCTGGTGCTCTTTGTACCAGTCCAAACCAGCTCGCTGTGGCCTCCTCAGCTTCCCAAAACACCCCAGCTACAGAGACTTTGTTTCCCCCCCATTGGCCTTCGCTGCCTCATTCGCTCTCACTGTTCTCACTGCTATCTCTGCAGCCCTGCTCAACTTCATTCTCCTCTTCTCACAGCTGGGCAGCTGCAGATTTTTGGTCGCACCCATGACCTTGGACCGGGGCCAGCATCTTATCTTCACACGGAGCTAGCTGAAGTGTCGAGTTAACCCGTTCTCTGTTCTTTTTCTCCTTCCCCCTCTTGGCCTCTTGCTCCGTGCAAGGGAATCTTCCATTCCACACTTACACCTTTGACCTCCCCTGCCCCCAAAATGCCTTGCAATGCTTACAACCGCATTAGCAACATACAATGCTGATCTGCCTCCCCATGGGACCCCCTGAGGGAGGGAGTCCTTGGGCCTGTGACAGTGAGAGAGGGAGACAGTGGCTGAGTCAGTAGGGAAAAGGAATAGAGCAGAGCTGCCTGAGAAGACAAAATCGGAAGAAGGAGCAATAGGAGCAGCAGAAGGTAGCTGGCACCATTGGGAAGAACAAAAACTGAAGGAAGTGTTGGTGAGGCCTTGTCAGAGCTGGGGAACCCTGCTGAATTGTAGGAGCTTATGCAGAGGCCCCTAGGACCCAGAGGAAGAACCTGCCAGGTTCAGGGCAGCTGAACCTGAGGAAAGAGGGTTGATGCTAGTGGGTGGATCCAGAAGCAGGGATAGGACTTTTGGGCAGGGAGCCTAGGGGAGTGGAAGCCCCCTTGCAGTAAGGGCTGCAGGCAGCTGAGCCCAGAACCAGGGGTTGGTCTTGGAGGGATGCTCCTACTCAGGGGCAGGGAGGCCTGGGTGTGGAATGCTGTGGGGAGCTCTCTTGCAGGAGACCGGACTTGGGTTGAGGGATGGGAGCCTGTTCATGTGGCTACCCAGGGAGGCTTGTGCTGTCAACCACAGGAGCCTGTGGTGTCAATGGGAAAGGGACCTGGAAGGTCAGGGCTGTGGGAATGGATTGGTCTCTGTCCAGCAGGCTGTGTGGGAAGAAGGGCTCCGTTGCACCTGCCAGCGCTCACCCCTGGGTGCTTGAGCAGGTTAATTCCAAACAAGATATTCTCAGTGATGTGTCAGAGAATCAGGTACAGTCATGGGGAAATGATTCAGACCTATCTCCTTCCATAGAGTGTCTTGTGCCAAAAGCTGTTACTCCAGCTGTCGGTGACCCCTTTCCCCCTTCTAGGGAAGAGCCAGGGAGGAAGCACCGTAACTCTGCTCCAAAGGCTGGAGACAGAATCCTGCTCGCTGCATACACTCAAAAGGAACCAAACTAAAGGGACCCAACTGCTCTTTCCTCTGGTCTCAGCCCAGCCACGAAGGCTGACTTTGCTATTGCAGAAATAACTTCACCACGGCTGCATTTTGACACTACCTATCGTCCCTTTCGAAGATGCAACCACTTCATTGTCCTGGCATTTATTGTAAGTCCGAGTGAACTACACCAATGTTCCAAGGTAGCAAAGAATATCATCATTAATTCAAATGTGTCTATGCATTGTATGATGTCCTCTGCATAAGCTAAATCACGGTAAATCACCGGCAACCCACCTGTTTCACAGTGCTAAAAGTTCTCTAACCCATGGGAAAAACCACAGGGGATCCGAAGAATGGTATGCATCCTAAGAAGTGGGCTGTAGTCCACGAAAGCTTATGCTCTAATAAATTTGTTAGTCTCTAAGGTGCCACAAGTACTCCTGTTCTTCTTACCACAGGGGATGTTTTTCAAAGTGCTATAAAATCCACATGCATAATCAAATTATCTTGAAAGTTGATGTGCCTCACTGGGGCGTGGGGAAGGGTTAGTGCTGCAAATTTGGGATTATTGGGTCAAGATATTCCTGAGATACTGCACCCAGGGAAAAGGGTCTGATCAGTAAAATTTTCTGATGTTTGTAACTTTTTGTGCACATCCCTGTGACTCAAACTATGGCACTGCACCAGCCTAAGATTATCCAACTGGATTTGAAATCAGCTCGTGTCTGGCACCCAGGTCCATGGCAGAGAAGCAATATTAGAAAAAGTTATTAGCAAATCTGTCCACCTCAGTAAATTGGCAGGCATCTCGGAAAGGGATCTGTGCCTGTGTCACAAGCCAGGCTGTACTGTGGCCACAACTGTGTAGAGACAGGTCAGAATGTGTTACTATCCCTTGGCAGCTTAGGGACCAGGCAGTAGACCTCAACTTGAACCTTCAGGGAGTGAGAGTTCAAGTCCTCCCCGTTGCAGATTCCTGAGAATGTCAGGTGTATACTGTACTATTCTCTACTATGGCTCAGTTGAGAACAGGCAGTGTTATGGAGAAGTGTATGACTTCCATAGTTCAGGGAGAGTGGAGCTCGCTGTTGTACAGCTGATTTTTCTGCGTGCTGTAAAAGCCATGTGCAGTTGGAGCTTGTCTTGCAAATAGGTATACAACAGGAGTAATGATAAACGTTGTGGTACAAATTTGGGGTCATTTGTTGGAGGGATTCCTGGGAAACAGCCCCCACACCCCTCCAAAAAAGAACTGCTTTTAAATTTTTTGGTGTCAACTTTTTTTTAACAGAACTACAGAAATACAATAAAATAATAAATAAGGCCTTGCCCCTCGTAAAATGTATGGCACTGCCCTGCCCCTGAGCTCAGCTATTTAGCAGCATCAAGAAGCAGTTTAGAAATATTTCCAAAGTTATAGCACGGCAAGAGCTTTTATTGCCAGTGCTCATCTCTGAAAGTTCTTGTTTCTTCAGAAAATCCTCAGTAAGTGACACAGCTTGAGTAACGTACTCACTTCATAGAATATCAGGGTTAGAAGGGACCTCATGAGGTCATCTAGTCCAACCCCCTGCTCAAAGCAAGGCCAATCCCCAGACAGATTTTTGCCCCAGATTCCTAAATGGCCCCTTCAAGGATTAAACTCACAACCCTGGGTTTAGCAGGCCAATGCTCAAACCACTGAGCTATCCCTCCTCCCCACTTGATGGCTTAGGGGAATAAATGTTGCCCAGTGGCTCATGAGTCTGAGAATCATGGGTTTTATGTTGACCTGGGAGAAACTTTTTCAGCAAATAGAAAATTCACTGAAAAATGCATTTGACATGAACTGGCTATACAATGTCACCCAAAATGTTTTGTGGGACTGAGATGGTTAGAAGAGGAGGTGCCTTCCTTCTAACCTTTAGCCTAGTGGTTAGGGCACTTGCATGCATTCAATTCCCTTCCCCCTTCTCCCCCGCCTGCTGTGGAGATAGAATTTGAACATAGACCTGCCCCACCCCGCAGCTGTATGTCACAGATGAGTGCCCAAATAACTGGGCTAGGGGATATTCTGCGGCACCCTCTCAATCTCTCCTGTGGAAGCTGTTCCACTGTGTATAAAATAATTAAATTGTCCTTGGAGAAGGGACCTGAGTCACCTACATCCTCAGCGAGTGGGCCACCACCAGGCTATAGAATTATTCTCACTTGCTGTCTCTCGAGCCCAATGACTATTCCTTGTCATTCATAGTGGTCATTCATAATTTATTTTATTCATATTTTTATTTTATTTATTCACTCCATGAAGTGCCAATATGAATGACAATGAATAGTCATTCAGCTGGAGAGACCAAGCATATGTCTAAGGCCTTGTCTACACTACAGAGTTTTGTCGATGCAAGTTACGATGACATCCAGTCACCGCTGTAATTAAACCGCCGATGCATGCCCACACTATGTTCCTTGTGTCGGTGGAGTGCATCCACAATAGCACCTCTTGCATCGACACAGAGAGCCGTGCACTGTGGGTAGCTATCCCACTGTACAACTGGCCACAGGATGCTTTGAGAAGGGTTTGCAATGCTGCATGGGGGCAGGTACAGTGTCACATAATGAAGGTTTCTCAATTCCATCATTCCATGGGAATCTTACTAGATTGTCAGCTGGTTTTCAACTGCCCTGGTAACCTGCGAGCCAGCCAGCTCTGTCAAAAAGCATGGATCCTGCACTGCTGTTCAGCATTGTGCTGTGCATTATGAACACAAGGCTATAAGAGGAGCCCAATGGGCTGAGGGATGCCTTGAAGGAGCATATTAACACTGAGCCACAGTAATGTGTCTTGCTGTAGCTTGCTGAGCTTGGCATTGTTTGTTTGCACCGTGCTAGGAACTGTGTAATGATTGCTGTGTGTGCCCAAAAAGTAACATATTGTACTGCACGTTTTAAAGTAGCACTTGGTAATATGACCAACTGAAATTGCTGAACACTAACACAAGAAGCCCACAGAAGTGTGTGTGGGCGGGGGGGGGGAGGGAGGAGAGTGTGTGACAGTGAGTGTGTGTGTGAGAGAGAGACACAAAGACAGTGTGTGGAGTGGGGGACAGTGAATGAGTCGGCATGCTGTCTCTAAGTTCAGACAGCAGCCGGAAGCAACCAATTCTGAGGCAGAAGCTGGTGCACGGACAGCTGGTGTCCCTCCACCCCAGCTCAGCATCAGCCCCCGCCCTCCCTCCCTGACTCTGCACAGCACCACAGCACTAATCTCTTCCCCCTGCACTGCCTGCCTGCCGCTGTGGTGGTAGTGTGGGGAGAGCAGGATTCCATGTTAATGTGATGATTTTGTGATTCCCTCCAAGTTCTCCCACAGCCTCCTCTCCCCACAGACCAAGGAGATCCACCCTCTCCCCTGCAGTCCAGGCAGGAGTGTGTTTGCTGCTCTAGCCGGCATACTCAGCTTGGCAGTAGCCATGTGAGCTCTCCATGCTAAGCAGTTTCAGAACTTCCTGGGGCTTTGAAAGGGGAAGGGTGCACGCCTGTGTAGCTGGATGCAGGGCAGCAGAGTTCAAAACAGCAAGCAGAGTGGTCACGCTGGGCATTGTGGGATACCTCCTGGAGGCCAGTTATGGTGATGTAATGAACGCAGTGTCTACATTTGTCTATGCTTTGTCTATCTAACTTTGGCACAAAAAGCTCTACATCTCTCATCGTGGTAGTTTTGTCAGTACAGAAGGAGAGTTAAATCGGTGGGAGGAGCATTGTAGTGTGTACACCTCCACTGTTCTGTCATTGCAAGCTGCCTTTTGCTGACAAAACTGTGTAGTGTAGACAAGGCCTAAGGCTAGGTCGACGAAAGGCAGTTTATGTCGACCTATGTCACTGTCTACACTACAGTCTTGCTCCCGCCAACGTAAATGCCCTGCTACATCGACATAACAACTCCACTTCCATGAGAGGCTTAGATCTTATGTCTTTGTAGTTAGGGAGACACAGTGTCTA